ATTAGTAGTAGGCTAGAGAATGTGCTGTCTGGAAGTTCCTCTGTCCCCACATGCTTCTGTCCCTTTTTTCTGCATAATACTACTCTCAGGGGTTCCTTCCTACTTGGCACTCCCCTTCTCTTTGTCTTCTTCCTCTGTCCACCATGAGGATTGGACATGCTTTTCATAATCTCTCTCCATCTTAGCTTAGACACTGCCTTTCCCATCTAGTACAGAGTTCTCTTGCAATAAAGAACATCTGTTCCCCCCCACCCTAAGTAACAAGCCTGAGTGTGAATTTATTCCTCAAGCAGCCAGGCCATAGAATTATCCTGTTCAGTTCTGCTTTCAGTAACTCCCCAAAATAAAATTGTTTATTTTTCATTGTGCAGACCCTACCTGTGGGATTTTGAAGAGACCTAGAATATTTGCCATCTGGAAGGAGAGGTCACAGCCAAGTCCCCCAATTACAGCCATTATTTTTTTCTGGTGGACACACTCATAATTGGGAAAATATTTATGCAGTTTATAGAGCAGATCCAGAGTGGTACGGTAGGTCATCCTTTCATTGGAGTAGGTGTCACAAATGTGGAACCCGAGAGTGACATTGGGCAAGAGCTTGGAGTTCTGATTGATCTCATGTACTGCAAATGCCAAGGCCAGGATGTGCTGGTAAAACTTTGTCACCATACTTGAAAAGGAGTCAAATGCTGTTTTAGGGGAGAATTCTATAATACACTACATTACCTGAACATGATTCTTGTCTGAACTAATTCTTACTTATGTGCTTCAGTAGAAGTCATATTTTATTTTTATTTTTTATTTTATTTTTTTAAAAATGGAGCTAATAAGCATCTCCTACTTATGTCCAAAGAATTCTGTTATCAGAACACCATCATCACTGGTCTAAAACTGATATTTTGTATTTACATTTTTATTGCTCACATTCTTACCATCCTAACTGACCAAGGATACTCCCGATTTTATAATATTCTCTTGTAAAAAACCAGGGCCCCACTTTTGCCTCTGCTTTTTTTTTTTGACTAGGCTTTAGAAAAAGAAGGGATCTATTCTGAGCTCCTAGAGGGGTCTTTTTCAGAGTTCACCTCCTTCCTCAGGGTCTCTAGAAGTTGTCTCTATAACAACTCTCATTACAGTCCTCCAAATTCTTGTGTTGAGTCCCCTAACTACAGGCTCTGAAGATTCTATAGGGCCTTGATGATCCTCCTAAACCTAGTCAAGTGCCCCCAATGACTCCTGCTCGAGTCTTTCCTCTTGGTTTCTCTGTGGTTATGTAGCAGGGTATCTCTTTAGCCCGCTGTCTGCCTGCCCATTCTGACCACACAGGCACTTTAATAGACAAGGAAACCAGCAAGAAGATCAGATGCTCCAGAGTAAGCTAGTTGAGAGAACTTTGCATGTAAGTGAAAAGTTAATTCTTTTAAAACACCCTTCTATCAGGGGCAGTCCTATTAGTATCTGGGTGAATCCTGCATTCTAGGTTAGCAGTACATATTCTTAAACTTCAGCAAAGGGAGAAAAGGAGGGCCCTGTTTATTGAGCGTGGGGACCCAACCCAGAGGAAGACTTGATTCATTTATTTTGTGCTGGAGTTCATGCTAGAGAATGGAGGGACAGAATATTTGCCTCACATTTCATAACTTTGCCAGGTCTTCTGCTCTGGTGAGAAACCTCCAGCCTGGAAACCTTGAAAAATGGAGTGGGAATGGAAGGGATATTTACATATAGTGGCATATCCCAAGCTCCCTAAATCTCCCACCATAAAGCTGAGCCGGCAACCATCATTCTAATTTCATTACAAACCATTTGTGAAACATGAAATAAGTTTAATTAAGCAAAACAATCCGAAAATAGATGGAAGCTGCCTCGAGTCCTATTCATGGGAGAGGGAGTGGGATACAAAACAGGCAAATAAATTGTGTATAAAAGATGTAGGAAAGCATATTTTGTGCAAAATGAATATATTGTACGAGCCCCATTTTGAACCCAAAGAATACATGTTTCTAAGACAGTCACAATTACTTTCCCACTAAAAGTAGTTAGTTGCATACATTGGATTCAATAAATATACAGTCTTGTATTTAGTTAAGGTCTCTGTCTAGGTAATTAAAAAGCCATGGCACCTACCAGCTGTTCTATAATATCCTGAGCACCACCATCAACCATTTCAGTATCTCCTTCCATTTTCCACTCATACATCTACCAACCCACTCAGACCTTTTCCAGGGTTTTAAAACATATTTATATTGGTTTAAAATAGGATTGCCCAATGAGTCTGTACAGAGATTTTTGTTTTCAACTTGGTTGTCTTTATTACAAATTTTCACAATATTTCCATATTACTTTGCATGCATTTTTTTGGGGGAAACCCTCTTATTTTCCATGTTTTATGCCCCTATACATTCACAACATCAACTGGTCAAGCTCCGACCAAAGTTGCTGTATGAAAAAAAAGAATACATGAAATCAATCTATTCCCACCTCCATTCCCTAGTCTATCAAAATTTAAGTTGTTCCCATTGTGAAAGAAGACAGCCCCCAGGCACTGAAAAGGCAGCAGATTAAATAAAAGTGCTTTACTGGATCAAGCCTACATGTTTTTTTGAAGAGCCTGTTATATATAAAAAACAATGATTAAGGTTAAAAGACATCAGAAGCAGGACATGAATGATCATTCCTTACTGTGGCACTTCCAACAAATTCAGAGAAGGATATTCATCAAACGACAATAATTGGAAATCATAAAAGATCAGAGAAGTCATCCCACCGATGAGGAGGTCACCTGGCTGAAATAACTCATGAGGGACAGGAAGAAAATCCTTCATAGGACACCTTGTTATAGGTGCTTTGCATGCCATGCAAGGGAAAAACAGCAGAAATACCAGTAGCCCCAACATCTGGACAGCAGCCTTGGTCTGAATGCAGCCTCTCCTAGCTCTATTTATATCATCAGCTTGATTTAATCCAGCTTCCTTGCATGGTGGCTTTATCTATCAACACATTTATGAAGGAGGCATGCAACTATTGGCCTCCTTTCCTTTACTACAAGCAAGGCCAGAAGTGCAGGACTTAGAGAAGCAGGGGATAGTGCTAACAGTTCACCTTCAAATTGGGCTTTAAACAAAGCAGAATGTCAGGGATCATATGGACAGATTTGCTATGCGATATCACTTGTTTTAATATAAGCTCTTTCACAATTCCACATTGCCTGTTTTCAGTATTTTCTGAGAAGGTACTAGAACTGTGGCTGAATGGACAAATTACAGCAATTTGTATTATTCCCTTGGGAGAACATTCTGTCTGTAGAGTCTGGGCTGTAACTTGTTTTAATATAAGCTCTTTCACAATTCCACATTGCCTGTTTTCAGTATTTTCTGAGAAGGTACTAGAACTGTGGCTGAATGGACAAATTACAGCAATTTGTATTATTCCCTTGGGAGAACATTCTGTCTGTAGAGTCTGGGCTGTAACAGACAAAATTGTTTTTTTCCTTGGTTCTTAACACAGGAGTCTACTATGTTCCAAAGTATGCCAACTCATCTCCTGCTCCATTAATTCCATGGTAAACAAACAGCAATAGAAAAGTTACCACCTAAGTTGAAACCAATCATTTGATAATTGGATATAGGATGCCATGTTTCATTTATGTGGCACACACTACTAAGCATACTTTCTCAGAAGTAGTCCCAAGGGAAAATAGTGGGTCTAACTTGCTTGTAGGTGTGCTTAGTTTCACAGCTTCATTTAAGGACATAAGAATGTTGGATCAGGCCAAAGGCCCATCCAGTCCAACACTCTGTATCACACAGTGGCCAGAAATACCAGTGCCATCAGGAGATCCACCAGTGGGGCCTTTGCATGCTTAAGAAATGTCTTTCTTAAGACATTTATATCCTGCCTTTACACAATTAGTCTTTGTGACTTACAACCATCTTCCTGAGAAGAAGAGCATTGCTCAGTTCCAGTATTATCAAAGGTGCGGGAGTCAGAATCCCCAGTTTTGTATAATGTGAGTTAGAACCAGAACAGACATCATGGCAATCATAGTTATCCGTAAGTGTGTACAAGGCAAACCAGATGATGACAAACTCCACTTGGACACTTTGAAAAACTGTCTTACACTCTCCAGAGACACATCCAAGACTTGGAGATCAACACCACTCATTCTTCATCTATTTATCTCTTCTCTCTTCCCTCCAGAAGGGACCATGCACTGTGTGCTCCTGGCCTTGAATCTGTTAGCTGTTCTACCCTGTAAGTGCCTTTTCAAGGAGACAATCTCATCCAACCTGGTTTCTCTTCTGCTACTTTTAAGACCCAGGTCTTTTTCATAATGGACCCTTTCCATCCTTCTCTCAAGGTGTCCAGTCTTCAGTGACCTTGAGCCAGTTTGGGCCAGTGCAGCTGAGGTGGGAAAAGACCATATTTGAGGAATGCAAGTCACTCCTGATGCAGGATGAGATTTCTGCATTTTACCTACAATGGGATTGGGAGTTCTGGAAATTGAACCGTCTCTCCTGAAAGCAAGGCTACAAACCTACCTCTCTCCAGCTTTCCAAAGTGGTCAGTAGAAAAAACAAACAAACAAAAACATTAACTGCATGGGGAATGAAAGGAATTTGAATACTCTGTGAGAATTTTCAAGAGAAGAAATCATGCAAAGTTTATTGATAGTCACTACCTGTCATTCTGTGGCCCAGATCCAGCCTGCCATGGGTCAGTTCAGTGCCACTTTCTTCCACTTCACTAGACCCATTCAATATGATACCTTCCTCTCTTTTTTGCTCTAAGGCTTATGATATCACTTGCCATACCTCCATTGTGTTCAGTTCATAAATTTAATTCACAGTTTGCAATTCATATACATGCTTAACAGATACATTGAATTTGTTTTGAACATGTGAGTAGAATAGGTTGGACCGACATATATGGTAGCCTTGGCCTGCTTCTTGAAAAAGGCCAACAGATAGATTCTGTAGACACTACTGAAGACACATATATTATAGGACAATTTCTTTCTTTCTCCATATTAGCTGTTCCCTCTTGTTTAACTCTGGCCTCAGAAGAATGATGTAGCATTTAGGGGAAAAGATACAAGCTAGTAATCCAACACTGGAAGCCAAGATAGAGAAGATCTCCACTGCCACCATGTATTTCCCTTTGGTACTTAGGTAGGTTGGAACAAAAGACCCCCAAACACTGCAAAAAATCAGCATGCTGAAGGTGATAAACTTGGCTTCATTAAAACTGTCCGGCAACTTCCTGGCTAGGAAAGCCACAGCCAAGCTGATGAGGGACAGAAGGCCCAAGTAGCCCAGAACAACATAAAACATGATTGCAGATCCCTCATTACATTCTATGATTATCTGTTCAGTCATTGACTTTGTGTCCACAGCTGGGAATGGGGGAGTGGTTCCTAGCCACACTGCACAAATACACATTTGAATAAGGGAACATGAAAGAACAATGCCATTGGTCAGCCTTTTCCCCACCCATTTCCTCATCTTAGACCCTGGTCTGGTGGCCATGAAAGCTATAACTACAGTGATTGTTTTGGCCAAGATGCAAGAAACAGCCACTGTGAGGATGATGCCAAAAGCTGGTTGTTGGAGAAAGCAGGTCACCATTCTAGGTCTTCCAAGAAAGAGCGAGGGACAGAGGAAGCAAAGCAGGAGGGAGATCAGGAGAATGAAAGTGATATTCTGGTTGCTGGTTTTGACGATGGGGGTATCTCTGTGCTTTATAAATGTTCCAAGCACCAAGACAGTGCACAGGGAAAAAGCAACTACAATAGAGCCTAAACTGATACCCAAAGGTTCTTCAGCAGACAGAAAGCTTATCATTTTTGGAATACATTGATCATGGTTCTTGCTTGGATATTTATCTTCTGGGCATTGGGTGCATTCATCCAAGTCTGAAAAGGGGGGAAAATGGTCTCATCATATAATTCCAGTCCTTACAGCCAATTCACATATTCACTTTAAGTGTTATTGAAATCTAATACACTTTCTTTATGCGTCTTCATGCAGTTAACTCTTCCCAAATGAATGTGCATGACTTTATTACATGCAATCTATGATCCAGAGTTGATTGACTGAACTGACAGCAATGAAACACACTGGGTTCTTTGACCCTGTGCCCAAATGACCCTAACCTTCTGGGAGAATGAAACCCCATGCTAACAGGAAAGGTATAGTCATTTACCACTTGGTTAATGGCCATCAGTATTATCAGTATGTTGGAAAGTTTGGTATACTATCAGAGTAATCCTAACTAAAGTTACACCCAGCTATACATATTGAAGTCTAAGGGTTTATGTGACGGACAGTGCTTTGAAAGCTCATAAGTGATGTATAAACATGTGACAGACTGTGAGGGGTTAATGCCTCACAGAACCAGAGAACCTTTGAGTGTAGTTGAGTGCTTGAACAGATTTCATTGGATAGCATCAGTTGAGAAGGAAGAGCTGGGAACTGACTGCTGAAAAGAATTCAGTTAAACACTGACTGAGGACTGGGAAGGTGGCAAGGAGGAGTGAGAGGTCGCTGAAGACCCCTATTCAGGCCAGGAAAATGGACAACGCCGGATATGGCCTCTCCATCGGACCATTTATAGAAATTCCCGCCATCCGTTTACACTAGCACTTTATCTAACTGTTTTTATTGAAAAAAATTATTGTATTTTACTGTATTTTAATCTCTGTAAGCCACCTTGAGCCAGTCTGCACTGGCAAGGCGTGATACAAAATGCAAAAAAATAATAAATAAATATAATCTTTCAAATAAGAAGTAAATGGATAAACGGGCTGCTCAGCCTGAAAGGAACAAAGAAAAACAGAGGGAAAACCCTTTGTGTGAGGGAGGGAAGAGGGCAAGACCTCCAGAGCCAGTTTGGTGTAGTGGTTAAGTGTGTGGACTCTAATCTGGGAGAACTAGGTTTGATTCCCCCACTCCTCCACTTGCACCTGCTGATGTGACCTTGGCACAGCTGTCCTTGAAAAAGAGCAGTTTGTGTCAGAGTTCTCTCAGCCCCACCCACCTCACAGGGTGTCTGTCGTGAGGAGGGGGAGGGAAAGGAGTTTGTAAGCCGCTCTGAGACTCCAAGTGAAGGGCGGGGTATAAACCCAATCTCTTCTCTTCTTCTTCATAGTTTAAAAGGATGTTCTTCTGTTTGGAATTGTACCATGCATTGCTTACCCTTTTGGCTTGAAATCTCTCCTTCTGGGCACAGGATGCAATCATAGCAGCAAAATTTCTCTCCTTCCTTCTTTTTCTTCTGATAACCAGGGAGGCAGTAGTCATTGCACACAGAATGGGGTACCACCTATCAAAAACCATGTAAGAAGTTAAGGGCTGAATATATTAGACATTATTTTAGTGATGATGTGTTGAAGTATGATTAAACCATTGACACTTAAAGTGAAAGAATACCAACCTTCACCTCTGTAATAATCCACTATTGTTATCCCAGTCATGAAGGGTATTGGGTTGGAAACAACCAGTTTTTCCACTGGTGGGAAAGGTAGGAGGGGGTCCCTTTTGACATACTAGAAAGTTTATTCTGGGACCTTCATGGGCAATAAAACCACGTTTGTAATGGCTGTTGTATGGAGGGGACCCAGGTTTGAATCTCTACTCTGCCATGGAAACATGCTGGGCCAGATACATTCTCCACCTAACTACTTCATATTGTTGTTGTGATGATAAAATGGAAAATTCTGTAAGCCACTTTGGGAGTCCATATGGGAGAAAAGTGGGGTATAAATACAGTTACCAGCTGCTGGTTGATGGCTAGTGCCCCACAGGTGAATGGAAGAGGTAGAGGAGGAGATTGGATTTATACCAGGTCTTCACTCGGAGTCCCAGAGCAGCTTACAAACCCCTTTCCCTTCCCCTCCCTGCAACAGACACCCTGTGAGGTAGACAGGGTCGAGAGAGCTCTTTCCAGAACTGCCCTTGGGAGAACAGCTCTGAGAGAACTATGGCATGCAAGTGGAGGAGTGGGGAATCATACCCGGTTCACCCAGTTTGCTGTCCATGACCACTGCACCATACTGGGTGCAGAGGCATCACAGTTCTGTCATGTTGATAGTGTGGAATAATTTCTGGGGTGAAACCAGAGGTGAAGTCATCCCAATCTAACATTCCATTGTGTTCCTGCTGAAATGTTGAAGGATGTGCAGATTCCTAAAGCGGTGTGATGTCACTTCTTGATTTTCCCTGGAAATGGCTCCATGCTATTTACATGAGAATGATATTTTTTTCAGTATCTCCCACTTGCCTACCAAGTGACAGTGGAGACTGGGGGCTGTTGGAGTCTCCAGTTGTAGCAGGATACCTGGCAACCAGAGGTTTTTTAATGAAATAAGGAAATAAATACCTGGTTAAAGCTTTTCTGCCAAACAATTAGATCCTCTTGAATAATGAAATCTTTTCCTTCCAGGGCATTGTCATTTACCTCTCCGACTTTCACTCTCTGGAAAGACCTGTTTGGGAATGTGACCAAGTTTGTAATGTCAAATCCAGCATTTATTTCCATCTTCTCATTAAAGGACACTGTTTCTCCAGCTGAGTTGTTAAACAAAATGTGTTGAAGAAACGAGTGGAGCTGTATGAAAGAGGAATGAAGAAATCATAACTAAGTGGAATCTTCATATTATGATCTATTTGCTTTGTAAAGGAAATCCTGCAGATAATTTATCTGTTCTTTCATCTGTATCAAACGTGACTCTGCAGAACAACCAATTTGGCTGTACTAGAAGACTTAAGCTTCAAGTGAATGAAAGTACACATGTAGGGGCTGAGGATATACGGTGTTCTCTTGCTTCACACTCCTAACACTTCTCCCAATCCAACTAAGGATCAGACCTATAAAACCAAAGAAAGACTGCACCATCTTAATCATCAAGTCAACATTTTTTATGTGACACAGTTGAGTAGAATGAAAAAGAGGAGAAACTGTGGCCTGTGAAAGACCACAACACTTCAGTAAAAAGGATTGCAGAGAGACCCTGGAAAGTCAGTGGTGGACACAGTTTATCGTGCTGAACTAGATAGTTCAACAATGTGGGATAGCATAAGGCATATGTTTGTATGCTGACAATATAGGGTTGCCAGTTCCCTCTTGGTAACCAGCAGTGGATAGGGGGTACTTACCAGAAGCAGAAGGGCAGCTCAGACTACATTGGTGGTAATGTGCCAACATCACTTCCAGTGTGTACCAGAAGTTACACCATCATGTTGTGACTCCACAGAGAAGCTCTCATAATAGAACAAAAACTCTATTGTAAAAATGGCTTCTACAATATAGTTTTGGCCCAAATGCCAGAATGTCACTGTGACATTGCTGATCTGCTGACATCTAGTTCAAGCCAGAAGTGACATCACCATATTGCCGATGATGTAGCCAGGACCTCCCTCCTTTTCCTGATAAGTTTCCCTGCCAGCCAGCTGATTAGAGGTGGGAGTGGAGCCTGGCAGCAGAATATCCCCAGTGTCCAGTAGGGTGGTGGCAGCCCTACCAGAATACCTTATCTCCCTATACATGGAACAAAGTGGTGGGAGGGCAATGGCATTTTGAAAATGTTACCTGCCAAGGCTGGATGTCTTGAAGGTCAACTCTTTTCCCACCAATGGGTTCTCTGTGTTTGAATTGAGATACACAAATGGCATGCAGAGCATGGGCTATTGCATAGACAGCATTATAGATGCTATAGCTGTGGCCAAGTATGTGCATTTCAAAAACAGGCCCCGGGAGACTCTCCAGGTTCTCCTCCCCAGTGCATGATTTATAGGCATCAGTGTGATCACTGGAATTTGGAAATGAGCAGACAAATGCTTGCTCCCAGAATTCCTTGACAAAACTGTCTTGTTTAGTCCAATCAAGTTTGATGTCTTGAAGGAATTTTTGGAAGCCTGGAAGTTCCTTAGTGTGAATCGTGAAGGAAAGGGCACCATGGAAGAATTCATAATTCCAGACCCATTGGATGGTGGTCATTGCAAAATCTGCTTGTGCTGTAGTAATCCATACCATTCTTAACGATTCATTTTCTTTCCATTCAGAATCTCCTAGAGCTATAAGGATGATCAATGAGATAATAGTCCTAGATTCTCCATAGAGGATAGATGCTCTAGCTTTGCTATCAGCAAAAGGTTGAAATACATTTGAAATTAAATCCTGAGCATCTTGATGCATATTCCAGTGGGCTTGGCTTATTATTCTTTCCGCAAAGGCCAAACAGATGCCATTTTGGGAAAGTAGCAGCTCCAGCACTTGCAAGAAATGTTCTCCACTGTTATCATTCACAACAAAAAGCCCAACCCATGTCCATCCAAAATGCTGGAGGAGCCGAATAATGCCCATATACTGCTGGTTTTCATTTGGCACCATGGAGTAAAAGGAAGGGGACTGTTGTATCATGTCATTCTCCTCTCGAGTAAATGGCCCATAGATAAGCTAAAAGACAGTGTGGAGCTATTTTAGAGAAGACTGAGGAAGAGATTTGGTGTGTTTCTGTTTCTTTATGCAAAGGAAATGTCCAGAAGGAGTTTTCAGGTTGGGCAAAAGTTCAAGAAGAAGTAGAGATGGGATTTAGAACATAAGAGAAGCCAATGTTGGATCAGGCCAATGGCCCATCTAGTCTAACACTCTGTCACACAGTGCCCAAAAATACCAGGTGCCATCAGGAGGTCCAGCAGTGGGGCCAGGACACTAGAAGCCCTCCCACTGTTATACCTGTTGGGGGCTGAATGCTTACCCCTTCCCCCTCATCAAAGACTTGTTGGCCAAGGTCATCCCTGACCTTGGAAAAAGTTACTCTCAGCAACTTCCAGAGAGTTTTGTTGAGAGAAACTTTATCCTAGAGTCTGACACTTGGAGTCTCAGAGCAGCTTACAATCTTCTTTTCCTTCCCCTCTCCACAACAGACATGCTGTGAGGTAGGTGGGGCTGAGAGAGCTCTTTTGAGGACTCCTATTTCAAGAAGAGCTCTGTCAGAACTATGGCTTGCCCAAGGTCATCCAGCAGCTGCATGTGGATGAGTGGGGAACCAAACCCAGTTCTCCCAGATTAGAGCCTGTGCACTTAACCACTCCACCAAACTGGCTCTCAAGGATGTACTGGCTGAGTTTTCTCGCAATATGCAAATATGATACTGCTTCAGAGGAAAATTCACAAAGAAGCTATTTGCTAAAAGCACATCACGTTACTGTCCTTCTCCTGGTCTGAAGAAACTTCTCATTAGAAGTGGTTCTTCTGATAAGAATTACTATATTTGGTCAATCATACCTCTGCCTCCATTCAATATATAGGATAACTGTGGGAAGTAATGGACTGCACAATGTCGCTTAATGCTAGCACACACCTCAGAATCTCAAGATAGAACATTAAAAAGCTAGTAAAGGGCTAGACAAGGGGTTGTTTGATATTTCCTTTGTCCACACATGCTTCTGTCCCTTTCTTTTGCAGAATACTACTCTCATGGGTTCCTTAAGAACATAAGAGAAGCCAATGTTGGATCAGGTCAATGGCCCATCCAGTCCAATGCTCGTTCACACAGTGGCCAAAAATACCAGGTGCCATCAGAAGGTCCAGCAGTGGGGCCAGGACACTAGAAGCCCTCCCACTTTTGCCCACCCCAGCACCAAGAATACAGAGCTTCACTTGCCCCAGACCGAGAGTTTTTATCTGTTCCTTGTGGCTAATAGCCACGGATGGACCTTCCATCTTGTCAGTCCCCTTCTCTTCTTCCTCTCTTTGCCATGAGGACTAAACATGCTTTCTACAATCTGTCTCCATCCTCACTTAGACAGCTAGTGAGAAGCCTTTACACCCCCTTTCCCATATTTTATTGAGTTCTCTTGCAATAACAAACACCTATTTTTTCTCTAAGTAACCAGACTCAGTGTGAACTTATTCCTCAAGCAACCAGACAATAGAATTCTCCTGTTCATGACTCAGCTCTGTTTTCAGTAACTCCCCAAAATAAAATTGTTTATTCTTCCATGCGCAGACCCTACCTGTGGGATTTTGAAGAGACCTAGAATATTTGCCATCTGGAAGGAGAGATCACAGCCAAGTCCCCCAATGACAGCCATTATGTTGTTCTGGTGGACACACTCATAATTGGGAAAATATTTATGCAGTTTATAGAGCATATCCAGAGTGGTACGATAGGTCATCCTTTCATTGTAGTAGTTGTCACAGATGTGGAACCCAAGTGTGACATTGGGCAAGAGCTTGGAGTTCTGATTGATCTCATGTACAGCAAATGCCAAGGACAGGATGTGTTGGTAGAACTTTGTCACCATACTTGAAAAGGAGTCAAATGCTGTTTTAGGGGAGAATTCTATAATACACTACATTACCTGAACATGATTCTTGTCTGAACTAATTCTTACTTACATGCCTCAGTAGAAGTAATATTTTATTTCTTTTTTCACTTTATTTTATTTTTAAAATTCTGAGCTAATAAGCATCTCCTACTTATGTCCAAATAATTCTGATATCAGAACACCATCATTACTGGTCCAAAACTGATATTTTGTATTTACATTTTTATTGCTCACATTCATACCATCCTAACTCACCAAGGATACTCCTGATTTTATAATATTCTCTTGTAGAAAACCAGGGCCCCACTTTTGCCTCTGCTTTTCTTTTTGACTAGGCTTTAGAAAAAGAAGGGAGCTATTCTGAGATCCTAGAGGGGTCTTTTTCAGAGTTCACCTCCTTCCTCAGGGTCTCTAGAAGATGTCTCTATAAATAATACAACTCTCATCACAGAGGTGCCCAGTCCTCCAAATGTTTGTGTTGGGTCCCCTTAACTACAGGATCTGAACATTCTATAGTGTCTCAGTGATCCTCCTAAACCTATTCAAGTGCCACCAATGACCCCTGCTTGAGTCTTTCCTCTGTGTTTCTCTGTCGTTATGTAACAGGGTATCTCTTTAGCTAGTTGTCTGCCTGCCCATTGTCTCCACCCAGAGTAAGCAAGTGGAGAGAACTTTGCATGGAAGTACAAAGTTAATTCTTTTAAAACTCCCTTCTGTTGGGGGCAGTCTTGTTAGGATTTGGGTGAATCCTGCATTCTACGTTAGCAGTACATATTCAGGAAGGAAGGAAGGAAAGAAGGAAAGAAGGGTCCCATTTATTGATCTTGGGAACCACCCAGAGGAAGACTTGATTTTTTTCATTTTGTACTGAAATTCATGCTAGAGATTAGAGGAACAGAATCTCTTCCTCATGTTCCATAGCTGTGCCAGGTCCTACTCTGATGGGAAAATGGAGGTGAAAAAAGGAGGTGAAATTGAGAGGAAATAGACATCTAGTGGCATATCTCAAGCTCCCTAAAGCTCCTGCCATAAAACTGGGCTGGTAACCCTCATGTGAAGAAAGGGCAACGTAGAAATTTCATTATAAACCATTTGTAAAACATTAAATAATTAAATAAAACAATCTGAAAACGGATGGAATCTGCCTCGAGTCCTGTTCGAGGGAGAGGGATTGGGATATAAACTAACAAATTGTGTATAAAATTTTTTAGGAAGGCATATTTTTTGCAAAATGAATATATTGTACGAGCTCCATTTGGAACCCAAATAATAAACCTATTGCTTATACAGTCACAATTATTTTCCCTCTAAAAGTAGTTAGTTGCTTGCACAGAATTCAACAAATATACAGTCTTGTGTTTAGTTAAGGTAACTAAAAAGCCATGGCATCTACCACCTGTTCTGTAATATCCTGAGCACCAACATCAATCATGCAGTATCACTTTCCATTCTCCACTCATTCATCTACCCCCCCACACTGACCTTTTCCAGGGATTTTAAACATATTTATATTGGTTTAAAATAGGATTGCCCAATGAGTCTGTACAGCTTGGTTGTCTTTATTACATCTTTTCACAATATTTCCATATTACTTCACATGCATTTGGGGGAAACCCTCTTATTCTCCATGTTTTACACCCCTGTACATTCACAACCCCAACTGATCAAGCTATGACCAAAGTTGTGGCATTAAAAAAAAATACATGAAATCAGTCTATTCCCACCTCTATTCCCTTGCCTATCCAAATATATGTGTTTGCATTGTGAAACAAGATAGCCCCTAGGCACTGAAAAGGCAGCAGATTAAATAAAGAGTGCTTCACTGACCAAACCTACACATTTTTGTTGAAGAGCCGGTTATATAAAAAGAACAATGGTTAAGGTTACAAGACATAAGAAGCAGGAAGTGAATGATCGTTCCTTACTGTGGCACTTCCAACAAATTTGGAGAAGGGTATTCATCAAAGGACAGTAATCGAAAATCATAAAAGATCAGAGAAGTCATCCCGCCAATGAGGAGGTCGCCTGGCATAAAGAACTCATGAGGGACAGGAAGAAAATCCTTCATTGGACACTTTGTTATAGGTGCTTTGCATGCCATGCAAGGGAAAAGCAGCAGAAACACCAGTAGCCCCAACATCTGGACAGCAAAGCTGGTCTGAATGCAGCCTTTCCTAGCTCTATTTATATCATCAGCTTGACTTAATCCAGCCTCCCTGCATGGTGGCTTTATCAACACACTTATGAAGGGAGAATGCAAGTATCAGCCTCCGTTCCTCTGCTGCAAGCAAAGCCAGAGGTGCAGGGCTTAGAATAACAGGGGATAGTGCCACCTTCAAATCTGGCTTTAAACAAAGCAGAATGTCAGGGATCATACAGACAGATTTGCTATGCGACATCCCTTGTTTTAATATAATGTCTTTCACAATTCACATTTCCTGTTTTCTGAGAAGGTACTAGAACTGTGGCTGAATGAATAAATTACAGCAATTTGTACTATTCCTTAGGGGAATTTGTTTCTGCAGAGTCTAGGTTGTAGCAGACAAAGCTGTTTTTTCCCCCATAGTTCTTAACACATGAGTTTCATGTTTTCCAAAGTGTGTTAGTCTAGGTTGTAGCAGACAAAGCTGTTTTCCCCCCTTAGTTCTTAACACAGGGGTTTCATGTGTTCCAAAGTGCGTCAACTCATCTCTAGCTCCCAGAATTCCATGGTAAGCAAACATCAATAGGAAAGTTACCACCTAAGTTGAAACCAATCGTTTGACTACTGGATGCAGGATGCCATGTTTCATTTATGTGGGGCACACTACTAAGCATGCTTCCTCAGAAGTATTCCCAAAGGAATATAATGGATCTAACTTGTTTGTAGGTGTGCTTTGTTTCACAGCTTCATTTCTTAAGACATTTATATCCTGCCTTTACACAATTAGTCTTTGTGACTCACAACCATCTTCCTGAGAAGAAGAGCATTGCTCATTTCCAATATTATCAGAGGTGTGGGAGTCAAATTTCCCAGTTTTGTATGAATGTGTGTTAGAACCAGAACAGATACCATGACAATCATTATTCTCCATAAGTGCATACAAGGCAAACTCCACTTGGACTCTTTGAAAAACCACCTTACCATCTCCAGTGACACATCCAAGAGTGAAGTGCATTTGGAGATGAGAAGCATGGAGACAGGAGACACTGGCTTTTGCCACTGTGACAGAAGAGCATAGAGTGCAAAAGCAGTGGGGGATCTGGATAAATACCTGCTGCATGGTGATTCATCATGTCCTGAAGTAGAGTACTATGAGCTTGCACATTACCAAAAGCCAATATCCATTTGCACGCACTGAATGCAACCTGGCCACAGTTTCTAAGCCTATTGACTGCAGCCATGCAAATCTCTATAAACAAAGAGAGGGAGAAGTGGCTATGCTGGCTGCACTTAGTCTGGCCTTACATCAAATACTCTTCTCTTACCCACCCACTCCTTGTATTCTGTCTTTCTGGTTGGAACTATAACACTCTTCCTAAGAATTCTGTCCCTACCTCCATCTCTTTGCTTGAATGTTTGATTACATGTCTGTCCCACCCTTCCTCCTTGCAGCTTAGGACAGGCAGCTTGGACTGATCCTTTTTATTTTATCATCATGACAACCATACAGGGAAGCATAGGACTGGTTCATATACCCATACATATACTTTTACAGTGACATGTAAGAATAGCCCCATCATACTTTAGATAAATAAAAAGAAAATTCACAGTATATCACCCAAAATGTTTTAGTGGACAGCTTCATTGCACAGTGACAAGAAAATATCTAAATAGGTCTCTAACTTGCAATAGTGTGTATTTCACAGAATTACATAACAAAATTAATGGCTGGTTTGGATCTACCCCTCTTTTCTAGTGGTAACATCACCCTGCACCACTACATCACTTCTGGAGAAACCCTGAAGTGATGTCGGGAAACTCTAGGCATCACTGGCAATTGCTAGAGCTACCCTTCATCATTTCCAGGGTTTCTTCAGAAATTATGCATGTCATGAACCTGCTCTCATTTTTTCTCTTCCAACTTCCCTCAAGTTTCCAGGTTCAGCATGGAATCCCTAACTCTGTGTAAATTGACTGGGGAAGAGACACACCATTTTTCATCCATTGCTCAAGCACTGGTGTTAAGGCACATACTTATGGGGAAGGCAAATACCTCTCTTCCCTCACTCACTCAGTTGAGTTCATCACTGTGAATAACTGTGGTGGGAAGAATCACTGAAAATAATGAATAAACATGCAAGCATATTTTTACTACATTTTTGTTCCTGTGAATTTATTGCATCTTGGTTTTGTTTCCTTGGACATGTAATGGCATAATATTAAAAAATAGACCACATTATTTTTCTTTCTTCCTCTACTTCTCTGACCTACAAGTCATGAGTAGTATCAATCAATCCCAACTAGGAATAAAAGGGAAAAGGAAGAATTCAAGCCAGAGGGGATAGACTATACCATATTAGAGAAGATGTCCTATTACATGTTGCCTAAACTCTCATGTCCTTAACAAGGAAAATAGACCGTATTTAGGTCCTTCATGTTCTTTCCACAAGAACAAATACATATCATAGGAATCTTAGAGAATTTAATTCTTCCTTCTTGATAGCAGATCCCTGTTGTTCAACTGAGGTTTCAACAAAATAATGTACAATTTTGGAAAGAAGATACACACCAATAATCCAGCACTGGAGGCCAAGATGGAGAAGATCTCCACAGCTACCATGGATTTCCCTTTAGTGCTCAGGTAGGTTGGAACAAAAGACACCCAGACACTACAAAACACAAGCATGCTGAAGGTGATGTGCTTGGATTCATTAAAAGTATCTGGCAACTTTCTGGCTAAGAAAGCCACAGTCAGGCTGATGATGGATAGAAGTCCCGTGTAGCTGAGGACAATATAAAACATGATGGCAGATCCTTCATTACATTCTGCAACAATCTCTTCAGTCATTGACTGTGTGTCAAAATCTGGGAAAGGAGGGAAATTTCCTAGCCAGATCATACAAATGGCCACTTGAATAAAGGCGCAGGACAGGACAATGGAGTTGGTCAGTCGTTTCCCTACCCATTTCCTCATGTTAGACCCTGGTTTGGTGGCCATGAAAGCTACAACCACAGTGATGGTTTTGGCCAAAACACAAGAAACAGCCACTGAGAAGACAATCCCAAAAGCAGATTGTTGTAGGAAGCAGGTCATCTCATTTGGTTTCCCAACAAACAGCAAGGAACATAGGAAACAAAGCAGAAGAGAGATCAGAAGAATGTAGGTGATATCCTGGTTGTTGGCTTTGACTATAGTGGTATTGTTGTGCTTAATGAAAGTCGCCAGCACTAACACTGTGATCATGGAGAAAGAAATGCTAACTGATGACAAACTGACACCTAAACTTTCTTCAAAAGACAGGAAGCTTATAACTTTAGGAAAGCAATCACTTTGGTCCTTGCTTGGATATTGATTTTCTGGGCATCTGATGCAATCATCCATGTCTAGGAAAGAAAAAAAGAAGAAGAGTAGCCATCCCAGTAACAATTAATATTTGCATTAAGATTATTGTGTCTGTCTTTGATAAGAGAGGAACATTGGCACCTATGGGTATGCTGATTCTGCAGTTCTGTACAAAGGGGAATTTATAGCTCTGTTCATCCTGCATGTACATTCATGCATCTACTTTCAAGAAAGATCCAACACACATACACTTTAGAAACAATACTGGGGACCAATACCTAGATCAAGGGTGGCCAAACTGTAGCTTGGGAGCTGCATGCAGCTCTTTCACACAGTTTAATTTAATGTTAATAAAAATCAAATTTGCATATTTTCCAATAAAAACATGTGTGTAATATTTGTTCATGTCTTGTGACTCTCAAACATCAGACGTTTATTCTGTGTGGCTGTTACATTAAGCAAGTTTGGCCAACCCTGACCTAGATGAACTTGGTCTTGCAGATGTCAGGATAGTTCATATTTACTCATACCTCAGAAATAAATGAATAGCAAATACATGAACCTAATTAATTGATTTCCTCCCCCTTTTGGAGTCCTTAATATCCTAGCTGAGCATTAAGTAGATTTCTGTGCAAGCTGAAAGACCACACAGCTGGAAAGAGAATCCTAGCTGTGGCTGCACAATTGAATGGATTGGAAACTGCAGATTTGTTCCACAATTAGAGATACTTTAGCCTCACACAAGAAGACTTTCCCTGATGCAAGGGACTCTTGGAGTCCTTGGAAGTGCCACTCTTTGCGGAATGGATCTGCATGATCTAACATTATGAACTGAACTGAACTGATCTAACATTATGTGTGATCTGAATGTGTGATCTCCATGCAGAAGTTCTTCAAACATTTAGCAGACCTCCCAATCTACTGATTTACTATGTGGTTACATATTACATAATATTACATATTACAGAAATTTTAATTGTGATTAACCATGAGTACTGGGAAACCAGTAGAATACATCATGTACCTATCTCATTTGAAATCTTCCCTTCTGGGCAGGGAGCACAATGGTAACAGCAGGATTTCTCTCCTTCCTTCTTTTTCTTGTGATAACCAGGATGACAATAATCATTACACAGAGAAAGGGGTGGAATCTATACAAGAAAATAAAAAGGAGTTTAGGAAAGGGATGTTTGACATCACTCCAGTTCAGCTCAACTTCTGATCTGTGGTTGTAATTAAGGGGTATAGAAGTAAATGAATACTGCATCTGAATGAATCTATTTGTATTCCCTTGATTACAAACTTTCTTGCAATTTCTGATGACCGCCTCCCCCTTTCGGGTGCAACTTCCTCCTCCTCTTCTGATAGTTAAAAGGCATATTTTAAAAAGACCAAAAAATGAGATTTAGTTGAGACTTACTACTAAGACATATCTGTATGCTTTCAACATCTGCCCATGAATATAGCTAACCTGACAGTCACTTAATAGATAGTGACTGCACAGAAGCAAAACACAGATATTGTTTCCTTCTAGGGCTATTTAATCAAATGTGATGGCAGGTCTTCCTACAACAATTTCATGCTTGAAAAGAACATCATATTAATAACCTGATAATGACCTCAGGGAATGCATTCCTCTTCTCAGATAACTAAGAATTTATGTCTGGTTGATGATTATGAGGTGCAACATTATTGCAAACTTCAAAACCAATTTGTTACTCACAACCGAATTATGACCTGGCCTTATAGCACAAGAAGTTCCTCCACAGCTGAAAAGCTGTTTGACAAAATGTATAACTAAAATCAGAAGCAATCCAAGCTAGATCTCATTTTGCATATAATCAAGATTGTTCGATCAGGTTAAACTTGCCTCGGGATCATGTTTGCATCAAAGTTCTCAGCATCCTTGGCTTAGTGCAGAAGTAATCAGAAACTATTTTTCTTTTTTTGTTATTGTAACTTAAAAATTAATACAAGTTTATTTAAAAAAGTGAAAAAAAGAAAATATGTTATTGTGTATTAGCTAACAAGAAGTGAGTCTGCAGAAAGATAAAGTAGTATTTATTTATAGCCTGCCTGTCTACAGAATAGTACCAACACAATATTCAACTAGTACTTGTTGATCGTGGCAGATATTTTTTTCTTATTTGTTAAGTAAAATTTGAGAAGCAGACAGGAGAACATTACTACTCAGCACAGTCCTTCATTGAAAACAAACAGGAATGGCCAACAGGTAGTCATTTGTGATCACTGAAGAAATGGCATCTGATTCTCCCCAAACCTAACAAATCATGAAAATTAAAGCTGAACCAGCAGGAGCTCTGCATGGAGGAGGAAGAGGAGGCGGCCACAGGAGAGCCAGGCAGGCAGTCCACTGGGCCCGCCAAGGCTTCTCCCCCCTGCCAACAGCAGCAACAGCCATGGCTCTCAGCTGCCGGCCCACCAGGCTTCTCCTCCCCCCCACCAGCAGAGGCAACAGTGGCAAGCCCAGCGTGGCTACTAGCTGCTGGGGCCACCAGGCTTCTCCCCCCTCCCACTTACAGCAGCAACAACCATGGCTCCCAGCCGCCAGCCCACCAAGGTTTCTACTGCCACCACCAGCAGCAACAGCGGTGAGCCCTGTGTGGCTCTGCCACAGTTCCCTGTGGTGTCTTCTCTGCGCATGCACAGGGAACGCTCTTTTACTTTTGGGGGATTTAAGTACCCCCATAAAGTTTTTTTCAACATTTCAGATTTTTCTGCACAGTGGGGGAATGCCCCAAGTGTGCATGAAAATCTATTTACCCTCCATGTGCTCCCTATGTGCAGATTTAGATATTAGATATATAGACAAGGGACGGGGCCCGCGATACTCACGGGGGGAGGCAGAGGAAGCAGCAGGAGGAGGTAAGTACCCCCCATCCCGCTGGTTCCTCTGTCTCCTTCACCCCCCTTGCCTTTCCCCCCTTGCCTCTCCCCCCTTGGCTCCTCGCTGCTGTCATGCGCAGGGGACGCTCTGTCAGTTTCGGGGGGATTTAAGTATCCCCCCGATATTTTTTTTTTAGTTTTAGGATTTTTGTGCACACCTGGGGACCGTCCCACGTGTGCACAAAAATCTCCCTCCCCCCCAAGTGCCCCCGGTGCGCAGATTTAGATATACGCATGCACGGGGGCCACTTCGCTATTAGAATATAGATGACCATTTTCCACATGTCAATTTAGTTTTCAGCACAGTAAGTGTCTCTTTACACACACACACACACAGAGGGAGAGAGAGGTAGAGAGGGGGGTGAGACAGAGAGAGAGAGAGACTGATCATGCATTAAAAGGTTACAAAATGCATCAAAGGAAAATCACAACTCCCAAGTCATCCACAGGAGAACGGGGAACCCTGCAGGAACACCCTGGAACCCGTACCTGGTTAAAAGCTGTCTGCCACACAAACAGATCTTCATGAATGATTAACTGTTTCCCTTCAGGAACACTAGGGTCCACCCTTCCAACTTTTACTCTAACAAAGGACTTATTTGGCAATGTCACCAGGTTCATTATATCAAATCCAGCCCCAATTTCCTTATTACCATTAAAAGACAGCGTTTCTCCAGCTGAGTTGTTAAATGAAATGTCTTGAAGAAATGAGTGAAGCTGCGGAGAAGAGCAAAAAAAACATCAAAAGTTGTTTCCAGGTGAGCATCCTTTTGCTGAAAGACCACACAGCTGGAAAGAGAATCCTAACTATATGTCACATTAAAACCATTCCTCAAGGTAATACCCATGAAACTGCCTTATACTGAATCAGACTGTTGGTCCATCAAGGTCAGTATCGTCTACTCAGACTGGCAGCAGTGCTCCAGGATCTCAGACTGGGAATGAGGTCTTTCACATCACCTAATGCCTGGTCCTTTAAATTGGAGGTGCCAGAACCGGAACTAGGGACCTTCTGAATGCAAAGCAGAGGCTCTTCCACTGAGCCACAGTCTCTCCGTATTATCCCTATAGTGGATAAGAGGGAGAAGGCGCTTTACTTTGTGCTTTGAGACAAAGGGAATCTAGCGAGGGAGGGAAGATAGGAGGCAGGCAAGTTCAGGACATGTTCCAGAGGCTGGATGAGGCTGTAGCCTTACATAGTAGCATTCCAGGGAAGAAGGGGAAAATCAGATAGTACTAATCAGATCTTCCTCTGTCTTGTTCGTCTTGCACCTGCAATTACACTGTTATTACACTGAAGGGGAGAGCATATATGCCATAGGAATTTTAGCTAAATAATGACAGATTAAAAAAAAAATTAGAAAATGGCCCCAGTCACACAGGCCGGATATCGCGGGGGGAGGCATGGCTAATTGCCACGGCACAGTTTGATCTGTGATTACACGATCAGATGCGCTGGAGGCACACCACGGGTCCTTCCCTTGGCGCTGGCGGGTAAACGAGGGACTGGAGGTGAATGTTGCGTGCTGGCGCGATCACACCATGGTTGTCTGGAGGCAGCCCATGGCAAACGCTTACTAGTACCTTGGAGGTACTAGTTTTTAAGGCGCATTGTCGGCGGTAAGCTACCGGTGCGCTCCACTTCCCAGATGTTGGGGTTTGATCACGCCCGGATAATCCACCCACCATCCGTGCCTCTCCCACGGCAACTTTGCCGTCTGACCGGGGCCAATATTTACTATTGGGCCTAGTGAATGCTTCACATTGGGTGGACTGACAATTAAAGTCACTGGAAAAATGGGTCACTTTCCCCTGAAGCAGCACTTCAACCCTGACAACTGCATGTGTCTCACCTTCAGCCAAACATGTCACAGACAGTTGCCAGGGCAACCAACAAGCAGTAGGTCCAGTCAGCACCTCAGTTATATTGGGTAGATCTAATGCCAATTGATTTACTTGGCTCTGTTGGGCCTTCCATCATGTGAAGGGGGAGCACAACAGGATGGGGTATGATGACGCCCATTTCTAGGATCATTTTGGCTTCTCAGTCCACTTCCCCAATTGCCTCTTGGTTCTCCCACAGGATAATTAACATTTTGAAAGTTCACAGTGAACATTCTGGTACTACAATTGCCTTAGAAATTTTGCCACAGATAACCTCAAAAAAGGGAAGATGCATAACACAAAGAGACTGAAGAGCAATCGATTGGCCATGACACCATCCAGATTCTGCATACTAAATTTAGTGAAGTAACAATGCCATTATCTGAGAAAAGGACAGGGGAGCCAATGACATATTGAGGGTTCAGTTTTGAAATTCAGAAACACCATGGCTTGTTGATTTGTTTTTGCATACTTTCTCCTACACACAGTTTTGCTATGGCAGAAGAGTGAAAAGAAATGGCTTATTTTTTTTCCCTGTAGAAGAGGGAATGTGAATACCCAAAACTATGTCAATAAAGAAATGGGAAAAACCCCATTTCCCCAGTAATAGACAGAGGGCAAAGCTAGGGGTTGTTTCACTCTCCACTAACATGTTCAAGGCAACAAAGATATTTCATTGTGGAAAGATTACCTGCCAAGGATGGACTTCTTGAAGATCAACACTTTCCCCTCCATCTTTTGTTCTGTGATTTTGCCTGGATGTGGACATGACATTCAAAGCATGTGCAACAGCATACACAGCATTATAAATACTGTAGCTGTGACCAGTCATGTGCATTTCAAAAACAGACCTTGGAAGACTCTCCAGCTTCTCTTCCCCAGTACATGGATCCTCAATCTTCATTGACTTCTGAGGATCTGGAACAGTGCAGTCAAATGCTTGTTCCCAGAAGTCCTTGAGGAAACCATCTTCTTTTTTCCAATTAGGTTTTATGAAATGAAGAAATTTCGGGAAGTCAAGAACCTCACGGGAGTGAATACTAAAGGAAATGGCACCATGGAAGGTGTTGAAATCCCAGGCCCTTTGAATCCCAGATAATGTGAAATCAATTTGGGCTGTCAAAATCCATACCTTTCCAAACGTGACATTTCCCCCATATGTTGGATCTCCCAGAAATATCTTATTATTCAATGATATCATGGTCATAGACATTCCATAAAGAATACATGCATTGGCTCAGTTGTCTGTGAAAGACTGGTGTACATTTGAGATTAAAGCATTGACGTCACCTAAGTTATCCCATTTGCCTTGGTGTGGGATTATTCCAGTGGAGGCCAAACAGATTCCATTCTGGGCAAGCAAGGGCTCCAGGGTCTTCAAGAAATGTAGCCCACTCTCATCATCCCCAGTAAGAAGCCCAACCCACATCCATCTAAAGTGGAGAAGCAACTGGATAATCACCGTATACTGATGGGCTTCATTTGGAACCATGCGATAAAAGGTAGGAAACTCTGCCGTATCCTGCTCCTCAGGGGCAAAGGAGCCATACGTGAGCTAGAAAAACGTACATATATTTTATGGATCAATTTGGAGGTATATTTTGTATGTTTTATGTATGTATGCCATGAAAATTTACTAAAGGAAGTGTTAAAATCCAGTACTTATTTTCAAATTGTGATAAAACTTCCAGGACAGGGTCATTGGTTAGATATATGCTAAAAAAAACCCTATACAATAACATGCTTTCTTCCCCTCTTTTCCCATATGAAGCAACTACTCTTTGCAACTTGCTCTTTAAACTTAAGACAAGAGGGTTTGTTTTCCGATCAATAATAACGCTCTCTCTTCTGAATCCCCAAGTCATTCCAAAAAATCTGAGCACCCACCATTTGTCTGTGCACAGTTCCTACCTGAGGAATTTTGTAGATTCTCAAGATGTCTGCCATATGGAAGGAGACATCGGCCTCAAGTCCCCCAATGACAGCTATTACATTTGTCTGAGTACCGCATTTGTAATTTGGGAGAAATCTGTCTGAATGGAAGAGCAGGTCCATAATGGTACGATAGGTCATCTTGGAATCATAGTAGCTGTCATAGATATGGAACCCAAGAGTGGCATTGGGCAAAATCTTGGGATTCTCATTGATCTCATTTACGGCGAATGCCAAGGCTAGAACATGCTGATAGAACTTCATCACCATTCTGTAAGTAAAGTTTGGACATAATTTCATATGTCATTTTCTCTTCTCTCTGTATCCAGGATACATTTAAAGGTAAAGGTAAAGGTCTCCCTTGCTCTAAAGCCAGTCGAGTCCGACTCTAGGGTTGCGGTGCTCATCTCCGTTTCAAAGCCGAAGAGCCAGCGCTGTCCGAAGATGTTTTTGTGGTCATGTGGCCGGCATGACTAAACACCAAGGCACATGGAACGCTGTTACTTTCCCACCGAAGTGGTACCTATTTATCTACTTGCAATTTCTTGCTTTCGAACTGCTAGGTTGGCAGGAGCTGGAACTAGAGACGGGAGCTCACTCCGTTATGTGGCAACTCGGGTCTCGAACCACTGAACTACTGACCTTCCACAGCCTGAAGTTCAGCCTCTTAACCACTTGAGCCACCACAGCTCCCAGGATACATTTACCTACTAAATGGAATGTTCCATGTCAGTAATAATTTGCTTTCTGGCCCATAGTACATGAAGAACATAAATAAATAGATATAAACCATTAGTTTTAATGTACTAAGAAGGCATCTATACATCACAAGATAAAAATTGAAGAGGTGACCTGCTTGATCAGGCCTGTGGTCCACTTAGTCCAGCATCCTGTATCACACAGTGACCAGGCAGGTGCTCTGGAAGGACACCAACAAGAACATAGAACTTAAGGCTTCCACCAGTGTTGTCTCCTAGCACCAGTGAACACATGAAGCTCCATTATACTGAATCAGACCACTGGCCAAAGGTCAACGTTGTCTACTCTGACTGTCTGCTGTTCCCCAGGATTTCTGGTAGAGATGTTTCACATCACTCACTACCTGATCGTTTTAACTGGCTATGCCAGGAAATGAACCTGGAAACGTCTGCATGCAAAGCAGTTTCTCTGCCCCATTAGTATTCAGAAATTCACTGCATCTGAGTGAGGAGGTTCCATTTAGTCACCATGGCCAGCCTCCACTGATGAATCTCTTCTCCAGGAATCTGTCTTAGCCCCCTTTAAAACCATCTATGTTCACAGCCATCAGTATGTCCTCAGGCAGTGAACTGCATAATTATACGATCTGCTGAGTCAAGAAGTATTTCCTTTTGTCCATCCTGAATCCATGGCCCATCGACTTCTTTGTTGCACCTCCCCTCCCAAGTTCTAATATTGGCCATTTCACCACCCCGTGTATAATGTTACAAGCCACTATCATGCCTCCCCTTAGTCAATTTTTTTTCTGAAATGAAAAGTCTCAGATTCTTTAGGCTTTTCTCATAGGAAAGGCACTCTGACCACTTAATTGTTGTCGTTGTTGCCCTCTTCTGTACTCTTTCCAGCTCTTCAATACTTTTTTAACGATACAGTGACCAGAATGTACACAATATTCCAAACAATATTCCTAACAATCTTTGTTTAGATCTCTTTCCTAATTATCCCATGGAGTTTGCTTTTTTCATCACTGCTGCACACTAACAAAATGTGGAAATAACTTATTGTATAAGCAAAGTGTATAAGCAGGGATGTGATGGTTCACAGTTGTGCTATTTTTTCATGACCATAATATGACTTACATGCAAAAAGAAAATTACATTCTGCAGTACACTTCTATATCACTAAGCACAGGTTCAATCCCTGGCAGCCAGTTAAAAAAGATCAGGTAGTAGCTGATGTGTAAAACATCTGCCTGAGACCCTGGAGAGCCACTGCCAGTCAGGGTAGCTTCAGTAGAAGTCAGCTTCATGTGTTTCTGCGTGTTCTCTTACAGATAAATAGCAAAAAGCCCAGTAGTACTTTTAAAATAACAAACTTTATTGTAGCATAAGCTTTCGAGAAACACAACTCTCTTTGTCAGGTGCATGGAGGATTCGGATGATGAAGAGAGCTGTGTTTCTCAAAAGCTTATGCTACAATTAAATGTGTTAGTCTTAACGGTACTACTGGGCTTTTTACAATTTTGCAGCAACAGACTAACACCACTTACAGATAGAAATTCTTTTTAAAAAATGAATACTACGTAATCAAATGGCAGGAACGGGGGAGACATTTTCAAAGCTGAATAGATCAAGGTGATGAGAGGCACATGCACTGTACGACTCCTTCCAACTCTGTGAGTCTATGATTATATACACTTGTCAGAACATAAGAACATAAGAAATGCCAATGTTGGATCAGGCCAAAGGCCCATCCAGTCCAACACTCTGTGTCACACAGTGGCCAGAAATACCAGTGCCATCAGGAGGTCCAGCAGTGGGGCCAGGACATTAGAAGCCCTCCCACTGTTGACCTCCCCCCCAAGCACCAAGAAGACAGAGCATCACTTGCCCCAGAGCGCCTATCTATACCTTCTGGCTAATAGCCACTGATGGGCCTCTGCTCCATATGCTTATCTAATTCCCTTTTGAAGCCGTCCATGCTTGTAGCCGCCACCACTTCCTGTGGCAGTGAATTCCAAGTGTTAATCACTCTTTGGGTGAAGATGTACTTCCTCTTATCCATTTGCTCTAGGCTGATCTTGCATTGAGCAGGGGCTGGACTAGATGGCCTGTGTGGCCCCTTCCAACTCTGTGATTCTATGACACTTTGATTGTGTTTAAAAAGGAAGATCGTGAGAACAATGCAGAAAGGGACATGCAAATAAATTTTAGAAGGTGAGTTAAGTAGGTTTACATTTGATGTTAAGCAAGACAACATGAATTCTCAGCATTGTTAGAATGAAGAAGAAATCATGATACCAGCGACCACTAGTCGCTGTAGACGTTAGAATGCTGGACTGAGATCAGGAAGACAGATTCAAATCCCCACAGCATGAAGCTTAGTGGGTGGCTATAAGGTAAAGGTTCCCTTGCTCGAAAGCCAGTCGAGTCCGACTTTAGGGTTGCGGTGCTCATCTCCGTTTCAAAGCCAAAGAACCAGCTCTGTCCGAAGATGTTTCTGTGGTCATGTGGCCGGCATGACTAAACACCAAGGTGCATGGAACGCTGTTGCCTTCCCACCGAAGGGGTACCTATTTATCTACTTGCATTTTCTCGCTTTCAAACTGCTAGGTTGGCAGGAGCTGGAACTAGAGACGGGAGCTCACTCCATCATGCGGCACCCGGGTCTCGAACTGCTGGACTACCGACCTTCCACAGCCTTGAGCCACCGCAGCTGCAGGCCCACTCTTCACAGCATTTAAAGAATTTAGAAAAGGATGAAAGTGGTTGTAAAGGAGCATTGCTAGGGCTTGCAATGCAGGTTCTTTTTATTTTGATTTTTGAACAGTGGTACAGAAGCTTCTATAAACAATTGCGGGGGTTCATGAGCTGGAAAGTGGGGGGGGGGGAACCTTACTGTGGAACTCCAAAGAGGTCTAGTGACGAAGGCTGTGCGTTGAAAAAGCATGAGTGAAGTTCATAGACAATCTGTGAAGCAATCCCACCAATAAGGAGGTCCCCTGACTGGAACCATTTGTGTGGCACGGGGATGGCTTCATGCCTCAGACACTTATTGGTATGTCCTTTGGATATAATGTGAAGCAACACCATCCAAACAGAGAAGTATCTCTCCTTTCTCCATGTCATCCACCGCATTACAGGATATTTTGAATGATCGCTGCAAACCACACTATATTCCTGAAAGAGAAACGTATCAAACCCGTAGCTTCCAGTGTCTCATTGCAAGATGAGAGAAATCAAATGGACAGTGCCTTCCCAAGAAGCCTCTCCCAGTTCTCAGTGGAAAAGGAGGGTTTATTTTATAACCACATTCAGTCTTATTTACTGAATGTTTTCTGGTACCATCTTTGAGCTTTGATCAGATGAACAAATTATAGTGATGTGACTAATTGCGGGCGGGAGGATAACCTCACCGTTTGTAATAGTTGTGCTCGCCCCCCCCCCCCCCGATCTAACCACTTATCTCCTGTGTTCTGCACTAGGAAAACACGTGGAATGGCGTGATGACAACCTGTCTCCAGACCGAGAAACTAGGGATTCAAATTTAACACCTTTCCAATTGCTTTAA